TTTCTCCTCAAACCACCAGCCCACATGTTTAACATTAGGCTGGTGTTTCATCTCACCCATTATCAACTCAGGTGCTCTACAATACAGTCGATGGTGACAGTTCATAAGCAGGAACCCCAAGGATGTTTATTCTCTGCTCAGCTGAAGAGTCCCCATTTGCCTCATATGTGTAACACTGGCAATCTTTTTCTTTCAACTTTAACATCTGTAGTCTGCCATGTTATCTAACAAGTCTGTGAAGAAATCCCAGCTGTATCTCATTTCTTCTCCTCCGGAAAAAGAGAAAAGCGACCACATCAGTCAGTTCTCAAAAAGAACTTTGCAGAGAGACATGCACCTCTGACTACTGCATCTGCTCTAGGACTGCCCAGAGTACATAAAACGTAGCATTTTTTTCCTGTTTAAATACCTTCTTACCTTTTCCAGTGTAGAATTTTACCCTCAGAGTAACGTGCAATTACAGTCTAGCAGAACAGCAAATTTAATGCCTTCCAGCTTAGGGGCTTACAACCTCAAGCTCAACAGTGAAGACAGTTTAGACAAACTTCTCTCGATTTGTGTTGAAATGGAAAAAAAGTATTCACCAAGTAAGTTCACATTTCAGTGAGACACCTCCCTGTCCCAGCAGTCCCAACAGAAATTCTGCTCAGTGTCATCTCCCAATAAAAGCTCTAAGTGGAGAGCAATTAACTACATGGTATTCTCCTCCCACGCAACTAATCCATCTAGTCAAAATTGCTGTTGTCATAGCAAATGTCCCTTCTATTCTAAGTCTTCTTCTGAATTGACTGAAAATTCCTACTGAAACTGGCTCCAGCTACCCCATGCTACTCAAGCAACTGTACCAAATGCCTCTTCAAACATTCCTCCCCATAGTATCTCCTGGGCTCAAAACCATATCCATCTCAAAAATATCAAAGAACTCCAGACGGGTTGGTTTAGTCTCACAAAACAAGAAACATGTGACACTCCTAGGTTAAGTCCTGTATTTGGTTAAACAGTTCTGTTCAACCGTCAAGAAAAGAAACAGTTAAGTCTTTACAGAGGCACTGTGACAACATTTTAAGTTCATATTGCTTTTCCCAGGTGGTTAGCACCAGAGCCAGTTATTTTCTCCACTTTCTCTATTTCTCAATAGAAACTTTCCTGCAATATTAGACTTGATCACAAATTTGCCACACCTCCTAGTAGAGCCCAACAAGCAAAAAGATCACGTGAAGCATCGTGTGAACAAACTTAGTCGTATCTCATTTGTATTTTCTTAGTTATTTAAAAAAAGCATCACAAAGATTCCCTTGAAGTACTAAGAATTAAATACTGCATAGGAAGCTGCCCAGGAAAGCCTTCAGTATTGCCAAGTAGACTGCTCATCTGAACTCGTGGTCATGATTTTTATACTACGCAATTTGTGGGGGGAAAAAACAAAACAAAACAAAACAAACAAACAAACAAAAAACCCCAAGCAAACTCTTAAATCTAGTTGAAGCCCACATGAAAACCCTTCCTCGTGTTGTCCCCTTCCAACAGCAAGAGCAGATCTGAGTTCTACTGGACTACCAGTCCATACCAATCACAGTGCTCGCACACTTCCAAAGAATCTGCAGTTACTGGGTTTGCTTCAACAACTGTATAATGGTAGAGCTGGGCTTTGGTTTGCTGTTTTTTTCTTTCTTGTTTTCTCTCCTCTTTCACTACAGGTCAGAGCCCTAGAAGAATAACATGAAGATGAACAATACTGAAATATGCGCATTTTAGTCCAACGTTACAGCAACATCCCAATGTAGACTTTTTCATTTATTTAATCAGATTAACATGAATAAATATTCTGTCTCCTATTAATGGGAAAGGTGGTCCAAAAGTTTCACAGCCTTCCAACATGGCTGGCTGACATGCAAACAGAGAAAGATTACTGTATTTCAACCAAAATGTTTGATACTCTGCACTTCAGAACAGTGCTGAATGGTTCCCAATTTATTTTGTTTTTAAAAGGGGTTAGGTTTCTGTAACCTGTGCTGAGGCACCTGAAATCTTTTTTAAGTACCAAGCATGCAGCAGATTTCCCTTAAGTCAACTGTGCTTCTTCAGGAAAGAGCTGCTGATCTGCTCTGGTGTTTTAATTGCTAAGTTTTTATTTGCTTTCACAATCAGGTTTAACTTTCTGTGTGTTCACCTACCTTCAATTAGTTGTAGGCACCAGATGGGCATTATGAGCACACAAAGTTGCACTAGACAGAGAGGGATTCTGCTTCTGTCCTCTTGTTCACTATCAGACATGATCACCTCCAAATGCTCATCTGCACACCTCTCTTCATAGTGGAAGATTGAGTCACACATAAATGGCCTCTTCCTGCCCCACTTTGTTCCTACTTACACAGTAGTCACTAAAAGAAACATCTCGGTCTCTTTGTGAGACTCTGTATTTGTATATCCAAGTGCAGATCTGCTTTCTTTTTATGAATTCATTTTCGATGAGGTGCTTTCCTGTGCTTCATCCTTTTTCCAGCATGTGACATCCTGAGAAATGGGGAATTTTCCTTGATACGTGCAGATGACCTGTTCTCTCAACACGTTACACAGTGATTGAGAATCTCATGATTTGGGATTAAATAGTAGCTTCCACCAGTGTGAAACACAGATGCCAGTTTTGGACTCTCCCATCCACACTGTTAAGCGAGACACATACTCTAACAATACATGTTTTAAGTTGGCCCCGTATCTGCAAGTGCTTTCCTGCTCAGGTTTGTAAATTCGGGGACTTTTACATAAGAAAGGGCAAGTTGTTGTACCCAAGGATATCAGAATTCTAGTATATCAGTAGGTTGTTGGCACAGGACAGGCCTCTTCCATTTAAAGCATACGCTAAGCTCCCTCATTAGCTGTCAGAGGACTGCATTGGTGTTTTCCACTGCCCCACCAGACATGACCATTTGTCCATCAGCTCTTTAAGTCAGATTTCATCTATTAACCAAGGCTGAAAGCCAGCTCAGGAAGGCACTGAAACAGATACCCAGCTGGGGACATTGTTCTGGGCACTGAGGCAAGCCACTGTTGCTAGGACAGATTGGTCACAAATGATACAAATCAGAAAAGCAGAGGGAAAGTTCAATGGGGAAGCCTGTATCAACACCTATGGAGAGAGGACAACCACTTTCCACCACCTCTAAGACCTTTTCTTCCAAGGTTTCTCCTTGAATCTGTGACAGCAAACAGAGACAAAGGAATCCCACCTCCTCCAACTTAGATCAAAGGAGACACCTGTCATCATCATGAGAAAACGGCTCTGCATCTCTAGTCACTCTTCTATACCATCTACATCGTTGCCATCAGTCCCTCAGTTCAGGTGCACCAGTGGCCACAGCTTTTCTCTGAGGCCTTCCAGAAGATCATCAAACAGCAGCTCATTACTTAGGTTCAATATTTATCTCCCTGGCGTTAAGGTAAACAGAGCACATCACATGGAGGCATGGGAGTCAGTCATCCTCTTTTGGTACCTGATTTTGGTATCTCTCTCCTCAGTCATCACTGCTGAAGGTGCACGAGCCACCTCTCCCTTTGTAGCACTGACAGGGCTGTCCCTGACAGCGGCTGACAGGGATACAAGATTACCAACACAATTCATCATCCTACAGTGCCTCCTCTCCCTCTGACTGCTGTAATCCCTCTTATGAGGGTCTCCTTTGGGAGGAGTAAAAGAGTAAGATGAAGTAGGACAGGATAGGATAGAGACATGTTTGAGTGGAGCTGTTTGATCACAAGTTTCATCCCCATATGGACAAATATAAAATTAAAGAGGCATCCAGAAACAACTGGCAGAGCTGTATGAAGACTGCTATTTCCATAAAGAGCCTGAGACCCATCTCGTGGAACTGGAGCATGAAGTGCTGCTGTAAATTACCAGACTCTGAAGAAGCAAGTGAACCATCAGGCCCCTGATAAAGTTATTTACTAGCAACAGGCAGAGGTGTGGTTACTACACCTGAGGTGCTGCCAAAAGACTGACAAACTGAACTGTTTGCCTTGTGCATATTGCTAGTAATAGAGAGCCAAAGTCAAAGACTGTAGTCAGTAACAACTAGGATGCAATTAAACACTCATGTGAAACTCAAGTTAGAAGTCCAGCTTTGAGTACCAGAGTCAGACCTGTAAGTCCAACAGTCAGCAAAGTACCCAGAAGTAGCCCCCACCACATCCACCAAACCTGTGATTACTGGTTAAAAGAACATGTACTACAAACTAGTAACTTACCAACAGCAGGAAAGACTTGCTCACTTTATCCTACCCCAATGCCCCTGCTATGAAATCATTATCAGATACAGGACAAGTACATCATCAACAATTCAGTGCAGGTACAATGCAAACAACCCATGCTCCTCATGTTCAGTCTGCCAACACAACCCTGGATGGTAGCCCCTTCATTTGGTCCCACAGATTTTATTCTCTAGAAAAAAATCCTTTGAGAACTGACACAAGGGCAGGGCAGTTGAGGTTTTACTAGAGAAATATCAGGACAAAACTCCATTAACAAAGTAGTCTCATAAAGCATTTATTAACAGAGTGCAGCCATGTGTTTCCCTGTCCCACTAAAAACCAAGTGGCCATAGACCACATTGTCACACTTTGGCACAAGTCACACAGAGCTTTGCCCAGAGGCTCTAAGCACTGCCACAAACCACCAGCAGGTGTCAAAACAGCGTCAAGTCTTGCCAGCTGCCTTCCTCGGACAAGGCATGGTCCCACGAGCAGTCCATGTGCTGGATTCTCTCCATGCAGTTAAAATACTGCCAGAAAGAACTGACCTCTTGAGCAGGAGAAATCAACTCCATTTCTAATGGGCATTCTGCTAGAGGAAAACCTCACACAGCCACCTCAGAAATAGTTAAAATGCATGCATTTGCAGCAGACTACAGAGTTCATCTCCGAGACCACCATTCTGAATTGAAGTTACATGCTGGCTTACACCACACAGGGAGGGGACAGACTTTGTCCCAGACACCAAACATCATCACAGATGTTCAGCCGCAAGCTGAACACTTCTGTGGCCAGCACTGAGGTTACATGACCCCATCCAGGTGCTCTGCGTCTTGGGCTGCAAATGCTAGAGCACTGCAAGAATCATCTTCTCTTTCTCTTTCTTCTTTCTCTTCCTCCTCTTCTCCTCAAAACGGTCAGTAGCATCAGAAAAAAATGTCACCTCATCCTTGGCCTCAATCTCCCTCTTCAGGTACTGGAGCCCTGCCATGTTGAATCCCAGCACATCCTGTAGAGACAGACGAGCACCACACTGTTGGGCAGATCTCAGGCTTGTTAGGGGGCAGAGCCCACATACATCAAAGAAAATCAAGAGTAAATGAGGGAGGAAGCATGAGCACAGGCTCTTCACTGGGTAGTCTCACATGAAGAAGAACATAAAGAAAAGACAGCCTATTTCCACAGGAGGAAGGTAAAATGGGCTCAGACCCCCAAACAACTTTCCCACTGGACACCAGAGACAACACACGCTCCCAGGCATTGGCTCATCCTGGTATTCCAGATCCTGGAAAAAGGGTGGCTGCAACACTCACCCGGGCCTCACTGACTCTGGAGATGGTGGTTTTCTTCAGATTTTCTATCACTGTCACCAGCATGTGGTTGCTTGTGATCTGCCCAAAATGTATCCTGGGAACAAAGCAGGCAGAGATACATTGCAGCATTGTTCTTAGAAACATCAGACAGCCCCTCTCCTGAGCCTCTGTATGTTCTGGACATGGGATTTTTCTCAAATGAGGCCTCCCTAGACCAGCATTATATACCAGACATGGGCAGATCTATCTATTCTCTGAAGCTTCTCTTTACCATAAAGTGGTTCAAGGGGAAGATCTCTCTGGGAAACTCTCTAAGGGCATGGGCTCTACAATGACTGTGCCAGTGAACAGTGCCATTTCAGCCTCGATGCAGAGTCTTTCATACCAGTGAAATTTGGGGGACCAAGACCAGCAACTCAGTTTGGGCATGTCAACATTCTGCATCCGATCAGTCCCTTCCCACACCATTCACTGTGGGCTGCAGTGATTCCTTATCTCCTGCAGAGACCACATCTTTATTCCCAAGGACACTTCTCAAGAGCTTCAGACCCAGAGACATATAAGAAGGCCCAAATTTTCCCTTCACTCTTAGGCTACATGTGTTCACAGCAAGAAGCGTCAAATCTGTAGCTCCAGGAGATGGGTTGTACTCCCCAGCTCTGTGCTGGCCCTAAGCACTCTCACAGCACAGGAGCAAGGAGTACCTCTCCGTTCACGTAACTGGCACAAACTGAGTTCATAACATGCCCTATCACAAGGGGCCCAGAGGAACCAGCAGGCCCACCACTGACCAGAGCCCTGTTAGGGCTTCCTTGTGTCCAGGTTCTGGATAACAATAACAGCTGATCTAAGACTACCAGATCTGTCTGGGCAGATGGAAGACTCACTTGAGCAGGAAGAGGAGAGCTCGGCACAGGAGCTCGACTTCCAAACCCAGGTGAATATATTCATTGAAGAGTTTGAGCACGTCAGGGACATAGGAGAAGGGCAGCACCAGGAGAGACTCTTCCAGTTCACTGAGGAAAAAGCCAAGGGACAGAAGCATTAGTCTCACTCACTGCACTGCTACAGGTGAGCAGAAATCACTTTCAGATAGGAAGGTTCTGATACAAAAGCTGTACTAAACATTCATCACTGCTGGTCTGTGACTGCCCACAAAGCACAGTGCATCTGCACAGACTACAGCCCAGACCAGCAGAAATCTTCTGGCACAGGGAGCAGGCACACAATCTTCCTTCCTCAGCAGCCCCAAGCCACCCTTCACATCCATGTGCATCTCCAAGTAGCCAACTCACATACAGAAATTTCATCCAACACTCCCCACAGAAGGGACAATTTCCATTCCTCAATTCCATGCACACTCCAAGAGGCTACCAGGACTCCAGACTCTCTAGCACTGGCCATACTCAGCACAAGAGACCATTCCAGGACCTCAGCCAGTCCCTGGGCTCAGAAATCCAATACATAGTCACAAGCCTGTTCAGCAATAAGGCTCTTGGGACTCACCTCGACTTGACTTTCTTGAAAACTTCTAGCACATACGCAGAAGGCTGTAACAGAGGAAAGACACCAGCTCTGCATATGAAGGAACATTCCAGGACAAACATGTGCCTTAAAGTCCACTAAAAATGCCTAATCACGTCCTGTGATATGGACAGATTGAGCTGAACACAACAGAGGAAACCCCTCCAGCTTCAATCAGCTGCCAGTCTTAGAAGTTTCTCCCTCCCCAAAACATAAACCCAGCCAGTTATGCTTAACATAACCCTAACGAGGTTTAACTTTTCTAACACATATGTAAGATATATTAAAAAAATATCCAACAACAATCAAAAAACCCAAACTGTGTTCACTTTGCAGAAGCGCCGAATTTTCATTTCAAGTCGAACCAAGTAGTCTTCCTTCCCCACAGAGCAACCCAGGGTTTTGGCTCAGCCAGCAAATCAACCAGCCCCATTCCAGTTGAGAATGGCCCATAGCCCGTGGCCTGGACATTCCACTTACTGTAATATTTCCATAGGCACGGAGGATGGGATTGACAGGAAAGGGAACCTGGAGACACAGAATGGGTTAAAATGAGGCAGGTGTGCATGTGTGAATGCACATTCAGAGAGAAAACTTCAACCCACAGTAGAAGGGAGCTTTTATTAAGTGTCTTCCTGCAATTCCCACACTTCTACCTTCACCAGAACATCGCTGAAGGCCTCATTTGCAGCTACCAGACAATCTCATTCTAAGACTTATATGACTAACTCAAACATGTAGGTATTTTCTTCCACTTCTTAATGGTCACTGTTCCCACTTATATCACAGCCACTTATTTAGCAATAAAGGCAAAGAACAGGCTTTCGGATGACTTTGCAGCAGCATGCTCTCCCAGGGACAAAACTTACATCCTACTGTGACTTTAAACATAAAGATCATTGGAAAGCACAGACCATTAACCATGCCCCAGAGCACAATGTCATTTTGTTCTCCAAAAGATATCAGCAAATCTCTGCCATTTCCAGCTGCCCTGATTTTATCTGCACACTGAGCCTTTCTACCTGGCCTGGAAGGACACATCAAACACAGCTTTGGAGTGGTACATTCCTCAGTCTTTTACCTCTTTTCCTGCAGCTTTGCATATGGTCTTGTGTTCCTTTAGTTTTGCCATCTCCTCTCTGTACAGCTCGATAGCTTCCATGATCCGCTCAGCCTGTGCAGCACAAGAATGGCACATCAGTGACATTAGACAAGCCAAAACAAAGCAATGATCAAGTCCAAGTGGACAAACAGAGGTAGAAACAGAGGAGCTGACATAGAGCATCACAGGACATGTCCCTCAGAAAGGTAACCTCTACTCCAAACTGCACCGCTACCCTGAGCACATCAGTCGCATCCTAAAAATGTGAAACATTCCCCCTAGCGCCCCAGGTGCCCTCTGCTGCGGTTTCAGTTGTTGCCTTGACATTGAACTCCATCACCCTCAAGCAGTACCTCTCTGAGGCACAAGTCAGGGTCAGGTCATTTGACTATTCAGATTAAGGATTTGCTCTGTAATTGCAAGAGCACCAGACTGTTGAAATCTGCAGCCATAAAATCACCTATCCCACACCTTCCTGGTACATCTTGTGCCTCAGGCACTGCAACACACTTCCACCTTCCACAGATGACCACAGGACTGGGTAGCCCTTCAGGGAGAGGCCTGATGCCAAGAGAACATCCTAGCTGCCCTTTGCTCCTTTGGGCTGCAAACCCCAAAAGGCAAGAGCAGCCCTGTCTGTCCCACACATCACAGGCAGAGTGCACTGCAGGAACCTCACACCTTGTTCCCTGGAGACATCTTGGAGGAGATAATTCCTGGTGCATGACTCTCCAGACCCCTCCCCGTTGGCCACTGAGCAGGACAGACTGCTCTTGCAGGCAGAGACAATCTGCCCTTGTGTGACAGCACAGGTTACTGCTGTTCAAAGTGATGCTCTGTCTCTGTGGCAGCCCCCTCCCCTGAGAGGTTAAGGCACAAAGCCATGCTGGTGGACCCACACAATCTTACCGCTTTGATGGTTTCAATAGTCTTCTTTCCTGCCAGCCCCGTCTCTCCTTGTGTCTCTCCAGCCACCTAAAAAAGTACAGAGTTTGCAGTTCCCTCCTTCCACAGCTGAGCAGCCAATACACGTAGGCATCCCCTGCATCTTGACACAGTCCATACTAAGAAAAACATCAGCCCCATTCCCTAAACTGTTCTTTTATTTGAAGAAATACAGAATTTCCCAAGTGCACAGCTCTTCCTCAGGATCAGAGGCACTATGCTAATGCTGAGCTCTGGGAGGCACCTAAACACAGCTTCTGTTCTGCCAACAGAGGCCGAGTGATCGGATGAGTGTCAACACAATCAGCAACACAACCCAAGCACCTGAGCAAGAGGAATCAGGCTTCCCCACCAATCCTGCACTACATGGACCTGACAGCAGCTGCCAGGAGGCAGGCCAGCCTTGGTACAGAGCTGGTGCGGACATGAACTGGGCAAATAGGAAGGGCAACAGCACAGCATGTTTACAGTGTCCACAGTGTAGCAGTTTGGCCAGCTCCACACACCATGCTGCAGTTTTCTGTAGGAAGAACCACAGTCAACTGCATCATGGGGCAACCACAGCTTCGGCAGCACCTTTTCCCCTGCACTTCCTCAAAGCAAGAAAATTATCAGTCCCCTCTGACACCTCTTCTAGGCCTCTTACAGAAACAGTTATTCCAGACTTTGCACAGTCAGACAGAGACACGCTCAGATGGTGCAACTCACCACTGGTTGCTCTTCCTTCGCCACACTCTCTTCATATTCAGCTTCTCGTTGCTACAGTGGATGAAAAGACAACATAATAACACAGGTGAGCAGGCAGCAAGCAAGGAAACAAGTCCCGTCCAGACTGGTTGAGCAAGGGAGCCTGCAGCTTTGTGCAGCCCATTGCAAAACCAGGACAAATCAGCAGAGATCAATAATGCCAGAACAAAATGCCCTCTTGTCCCTGGTCCCAGTCTCACAGGGAACCCTAGAATCAAGGTTTCTGCTCCAGATGCAGGAAGAGCCCTTAGAGAGCCCACAAAGCTGAGACAGAGACAACAGCAATTCAGCACCAGACCTTCCACCTGGCACACAGCACAGAAGAAACAAGCCTAGAAAAGTCCCAGGGTCATCCTGGCCTGCAAAAGGAAAGCATTTCTCACATGAACAGGGCCTCATCAGTGTGTAATTCACTACTGGTGTATTCATGCCCACTTTGTTACTCAAACTTCACCCAAAACACACTTTTCTGGCATCTGGAAAAAGGAGCTGTCTCTGTCTCTCCTTTTACCATCACCATTCCTAGCACACCAACCACTGGGCATTGAGATGCTGCCTATGGGTCACCTCAGCTCTCTGCAAACAGGCTGGGAACAAAAAAAACCAGAAAACCCACAAAAAAAAACCCACCAAACAAAACCAAAACAACTCCAAAACAAACAAACCAACCAACCAAAACCACGTTTATTACAGGTTTCTCACCCACTTCTTGTGCACATGTTTCTACATCACTCTCCCACTGTGATTTGAGAACCGCTTTAAGAAGGGGAGAGGCAGACAGAGTCCTCAGAGGAATGCAGTGGAAAGACAAGAGTTACAAACTCTTCCAAGGGAATTTCCAATTGGGTATGTGAAACAAATGCATCCACCAACCCCAATGGTGGCTCAGCACTGGAACAGCACTGGAAAATCTCCTTTCTTGGAGATGCTCATGTATAAAGACAAGTCTCTAAGCAGTTTGATACAGCTTTAAGGTTACCCTGCAGTGAGCAGGGGGTTGGACTAGAGACCCACAGAGTTTCCTTCCTATTGAAGTCATTCTGTGAGCCTACATACTTAAATGGAGTAGAAGGGGCTTCTTCCAGCAGCCCTGAGCTCTGGGGCCTGCTACTGAGATAGAATGGACCTCTCCTGGTTGGAAAAGGACAAATCAAGACAAACAGCATCTAACAGGAGCAGTGCTCTCTATCACTCCACAACAGCCACCTCCTGAACTGCCTCCAAAGAACACTTGAGTTGAAAGGAGGACAAGAGAATAAGAGAAGGCAAAAAACTGTAGGCAACAGATCTGTAGAAAACCCCAGCTATAGAGAAAAGTCTGGAAGGAAAAGAAGCAAAGCAGAGAGCAAGTTTGCCAGGCATCTGCAATGTAGTACAGACAGGCAAGCACCTGCAACATCTCCAGTGCTATCTCTAGACAGCTCAGGGCAACAGTCCCATCGTGCAAAAGACTCCAGTCAAGCCTGGACAACTCAACACCAGGCTGCGGTCAGTACTGAGCAAGTCTTGCCAAGTGTGGAGCCAAACTCTTCCTCAGTGAAAAATGAGGAATCTGCCTGCTGGGTAGAAAACAGGTCTGAAAGTTGTCTTGGAAGTAAGGATGCAATTCTCACCATCTCCCTCTCCTCTTCCAAAATAAGTGGCTCCCTCGTTCTTTCCCAGAGGCGCAGGGACTTGTCATGGGATGCTGACACCATGTAGTCTCCACTGGGGCTGAGTGCCAAACACCACACCTCCTGGTGATGTCCCTGCATGGTAGACAGAAGAGGTAAGATGTGAACACCACCCAGCTCCCAGCCCCAGAGGAAAGTGCTGCTCATGCAGGGATAATGCTTCTCTTTTAACAGTCTCCAAAACTTCCTACCTCCAGTGTCTGGATGTGCTCAAATTTATCTGCATCCCACTGCTTAATCTTGCTGTCCTTCCCAGCTGTGAAGAAGAGATGGGATTTCGCCACAAACTGCAGATACATCACACTGGAAGGGAAAAAGGCTCAAATTCACCCACTTAGGCACCTTGCAGATCTCCCCCACTCTATGTTGGACAAAAGGGTTATTGCTGGATCACAACTCCTTGTTGATAAGACAGCCCACAGCCCAGAGGTGCTGTAGGATTTGGCTGACCTGTCATCATGGGCGAAGAGAGAGCGGTGACAGTCCCCAAAATCCAAGCCCCAAATCTTCACATTTCTGTCAGCAGAGCCAGTCGCAATTAGAGTCCCATCCTACAGAGCAACAAAGAGAGAGGAGGGGGGGGGTAGAACTGCGGCTGAACCAGTGACTAAGCAGTGCTGAGCAGGCCGATACCTGGCTCCTGAAACATGCCCTCCTGATCCCTCCACCTCCTCTCGCCAGGGTGACCCACGCCTGTGGTACTGGCACAGCTCACTGACAGCACCCTGGCTCTTTTCTGAACTTCTGTGGTATTTAAGACCTTAGCTATATCTTGACATCTTTGGCTTCCAATGAGCCTTATTCCAAGGACACTCCAGAGCAAGATGGAGCCCAAGAAAGAACAGCATTGGTGGCTGCTCCACCTCAGCAGCTGCTCTCTGCTCCAACTAACAAAGAATTCAGGCTCCTCTCACACACTTAGGAACTTTAGCAGAGAGCAGGCTACACCTCTTAAGCTGAGTGCAGGGAGCCACCACAGCATTTTGATTTCCACTTGCTCACAAAACACCATGGTCAGTCCTGTCATGATCCCAGTGACCACAGGACTGCAGGATAAGGAGGGGCTTACTGTGTCCTATCAAGAAACTGCTAAGTCAGGAGCAAAAGGATGACAAGAAAGCATTATCCTAGAGGCCTTGCTGGCAGCAGAGGTTCCTGCAGTCAACAACATCACCACAGTCCCACTTAACACAGTTCTAATGGTACTTACATAGGAGATGTCCATACACAGCACTGGCAGTTTGTGTCCATACAGAGAGAGGAAAAACTGAAGCAGAAGAAAGGTCACAGTTAAACATGCTGGGTAAAGATGTGGAAAAATCTCAAGCTCCAGGTTAGTTCTGCTCTGCCTTTGAAGCTCTGTTTTTCTAGTGCTGCCCCACTTTCATTCTTGCCCTGAACACTGTTAGCAGCAGGGGGCATGATGGCAGAACTGAGAAGGGTGGAAGCACCCGACCAAGCTGAGCTAATTCTGGTGCTAATCACCACTGCCCGTGGAGTTTCTCTGTTTCTCTTTGTCTATCTGTCAGTGCTGGTCTGTCTTGTGTCATTCCTGAACATTCACGGGCTAATATACAACTCACAAAACCATCATGCACTGCTCACAAGGAAGATCCTCCTCTGCCAGGCTTTGCCTCTGCTATGCCCTATTTAATGCCACACATGACACGTCCATCCCCACCCTTACAGTGCACTGCAGCTCTGGAGTACCACCATGCCCACAGAGTTTAGAGTTAACCTTGCCACCTGCAGGTTCACAACCCTTTCCAGATGAAAAATGGATTGTCTTCACAGTGTGGGCCAGCCATGGTTCTGTGACATTCGCTAGCCAATGGGCACCTAAAGTGGGATGCATGGTCTCTCTAGTGTCCCGTAATAAAGAGACACTCTTCCTATGTATTCCTGATTTTTCAGGCTAGTTACATCACTCTCTGCACAGCCTCTGAGCCTACTTGGTCACGCACCTTGAGTGTGTCAACGTAGAAAATCTTCACAGTGCAATCCAGTAAGGAGACAGCCAGCAGTTTCTGGTTGGGGCTGTACCGCACACAGAGAACATCTTCATCCAGCTGCAAAACACGCACATGTTTCATGGAAAGCCTGGCAAGAAGAAGAAGAAAAAGCCAACTGTTATCCAAAACAAACAAGTTGGGAAGAGCCATGAATACAACTCCCACATTCCACTCTGGGAAAGTAGGTTAATTTTAACACCTAGCATCTCATTCCTCATTACAACTTCAATAGACAAGACTGGAAATAAGCACAGTACTGCAGGCTGATAAACTTCACTACTAAATTTCCTGCTTAATAATCTGGAGACCCATCCCTTGATTAAACGCTAAACTCACACACAAGCAAGAGACCAGAATGTGGCAAGTGCCCTTTTCCAGCTAAGCTGAGACCGTCAGAAAACAGCACTGAGCTCACACTCTTTGCCATGTGTTCCACATACGTGTCACGGGCACTTCTTACAGTACACAGCAAAGGTCAAAGCATTCATCAATGACAATGGATACTGCAGCTGAAAATAGTCTAGAAAGGTTTATTTTCTCACCTTTTCTGAACACTGCTGTCATCCTTCACAAGCTCAAACTCCCAGAACTTGACACGTTTATCAGCACCTCCAGTCACAAAGCCACGCTGCAGGGAAAAACAAAAAATTACTGTGAAACCAGTTTTGCTGTAACCCAGAGAAATTCTGCAGCAAGGAATTCTCAACACACAAAGAGGTTTTTGAAATGTCCCCCGTTCCTACAGTATTAATGATTAAGTGGACACCACTAGGAGTACTTGCTGTGGTTGGAGCATGCATTACTCGTTGGCTGAGCAACAACAGTTTCAAAAGCTCTGGCAAAGACTGCAAATGTAAATCAAGACATGGGCTGAAGCTTTGGGACTTGTCCTGGTTTACTGGGACAGAATTTGAAAGACAGGATTTTTGCTGAGGCAAACTGCAACTCTGTAAGGACTACAACACTGTTTCATGGGAACAAAGTGATAAGACACTTGGTTATAGCTTTTCAGCTAATACTGCTAAGTGATGATCAAGGTCTTCAGCAGTCTTGAAACAAACAGGTAGAGAGGCTGGGAGAAGCAGAAATCCAAAGGAGTTCATCCCAAGCTGACCAATTTGCATTATTCCATACCACAAATGTCACATTCACTATGAATTGCGGAGTTTGCTGGGGACAGCCTTTATTCGTTTCCTTATTCCACAGCTGACATCTCAAGAGGGACTTGTCTACTGTCCTACCCCCGAGGCCTACTCCTTCACAATACTAGCCAAGCATAACTAAATCTGTGTACTTAATATCGTTATTAATATTCGTTTTATTATTTTATTGCTAATTAAGTCCTTGGATATATTCAAAAGGCACTGGTGCATTTGGTGCTGGTACAATTCCTATCACAAAGCACACCCAGATTCTGACATCACCAGCAGAAAAAAAATAAATAAAACAAAAAAATATTACAGTAACTTAAGAAGCACCAGGAGAACAATTAAGAGCCTGGAAAACACATCCTGCAGGCACAGCAGAAGTTCAGCTTAATGACCATCAGACAGATGGGGAAAATGATCTGGTGACTTAAGAAGATTGCAATACACTCTATTAACAAGATATTTGATCCAGCAGACAAGCAGCAAATTTAACAAGGAGAATAATCAGCAACTGCAGCAGGTTATCACAGAATCACAGAACGTTAGGGAT